TATGTAATAAATAAGAATTTTAGAATATTGTCTATTGTGTAAATACCACATGCAATGAGATGAGAATCAGGAAATTTACCTCCAAAATCTCCAATTCATAGCTTGTGTGTGTAGCACCATGAGTATTTTTAACATAGTTCTGCAATAATACAAATTCCTCTGAATCCTTCTCCACAATTTCAATGTCAGTTTTAAGTTTTTCATAGTGGCTATCCAGAATGTGAGCATCACCTTTAGAATCTGACGTACTAGTTTTCAAAAGGCTGTATGCTACTTCCATTTCCATAAGACTTTCTACCATCTCTAATTTTTGCTGCAAGAAAATATTTGTAACATTTCATGTACATTATGGATAATATATTAAAACAGTTTTATAAATTTTTGTTCTAAAATTATAAATTTCATAATTTTATACTTTTAAAAGTTTATTAAATTACCAGTAGGAATATACAACAAAATATCAAAAGTATCACTAATCATGTTTAGTAAATTAGCACTCAGAATTATGGGTATGCAGGGTATGCACATAAATTTTAAACAAATACATGCAATTAGTCTCACCTTAATCATATCCTCTGTGTTGATTACAGGGGGGACATCTACGCCGAAATCATGAGGAATCAAAGTATAGAAGCGGTTGGAAGCATCAACAAATTGTGAATGACTAGCATTATTCTTGACAAGTTCCTGGAGGTCTGTTAGAACTTGTAGCGCATGTTGCAATTGTCTCTTACTAAGTTTTCCTAAAGGCATCTTCTCCAGATCCAACTGAAATTTTACAAATCTATTATACAGAGTGTCAGCTACACAACTTCAATATTTCAAACAATCATAGTGGAAAATATAATTTTAATTTCATAATTTATACATGAATATCATAATTTAATTACAGTGTAATGCAATTCATTCATTTCATTTCTATTCAGTACACTTCCACACGAATGCTTCTGGCTGCAAGAACAATGTCAAAGAGTCTGTAGTCAATTTCATGCATTGCAAGGTGTAGCATCTATACTGTGACAAAGTCTACAACATCTCTTATGCATTGTTTAAATTTTCATAGGTCATTAACTTTTCTAGAGTAAAGTATCTTTGACGCACCACCATAAAAAGAAATTAACGAGGTGGTTTTAGGGGATTGTGGAAGCCAAGAAATTGAGCCGCGTAGGGCAATCCAGTGATTGAGGAATGTAGCATGCAGAATATTGCAAACAAGAATAGTTCAATGCGGTGAGGCACCATCCTTCTGAAACTTTTTTGTCAGCTGCATGTTTGCAATTTGTGGCATGTCGAAGTTAATGTATACAAGTAACAGTTTGCAGTTGCAGTGCACTTTTGAAAGAAAAGAAAAAGAAAGGAAGAACAAAAAAAATATAAAAAACAAAAATAGGCCAACAATTCGATTGTTAAGAAGACCATAATAACTTTTGGACTGTCTCGCATGTGCTTTACAAATGCACGAGGGTTTTCTGAACCTCAAATTTGCACATTGTGACAATTTTATGCACTTGCTATGTGAAATTGAGATTGGGAATAGAAATCGCAAATGTTTTTCGCTGTGGTTGGTCATTAGGCTTGATTTCCTGAAGAAGTTGCAACTTGAATGCATGCGAGCACAACTGACAGTGAACAACAGTGTGAATCATTGACAATTTCATTCCTAGTTCTCTTGCTGCTTGTCTAGTAGACTTCGCTGTACTTCTTTCAAACAATCTACACACATTATCTAAAACCTCTTCGTGGATGCTTTGATTTCCACAACCACTTCTTCATGCTCGTAAATGGCGGCAGATTATTGTTGTATACACAATAATAGTTTCATTGCACACGAATTACAGATTTTGGTGCTGCATACCACCATACACTGTGCACACACACTTGCAATCTCCATTTTAGAAATTGCTTCTGCTGCATCTCCTGCTATAGCAAACTTTTACCAAGGTTAATACATAAACTTCTTGAGTTTATCTAACTGAAAACTAATATGAAAATTCAAACAATGACTTGAAATAAAAAGGAAATGGGCATTTAAAATGTTGGAGTCTCACGGTAGACAGCCACTATTTTACAATATTAACACAGTACCAGAGCTGTAGTGATGGTATAAGAATACAGAATGTAGGATGGAAGTTAGTGGTGCGAGACTCATACCATTACTTTTTGTATGGTTATGTTTACCTACAAGGTCTTTCACATTTCCTGAAGAAGGCCAAAACATATGTTCTGAATGGTTTAATCCTTTCAATAAAGTAATATATGGCTGCATTTAAATTGGTTGGTTATTTTGAGTTTGATAATATTGTAAAAAGATCTTTATTATAAGTTTCTTCATATCGCCTCTGGCTACAGTACTGCCACAGGCGCTCTGCACATGCAAGCAAGATCCTGCCTAAACTCTTAGGCGAGGCCCCATCTTTCTGACAAGTGTATTTTAAATGTGAGAGTGAAGCATGAAGCACTTATGATGGACTGTAGAAGGTGTGTGTTCTGAGTTTACAGCAGGTGAAAGGGTCCGCAAGCCAAGACCGCAGTGGTCACTCACGAGACAATATGATGCATTCCACTTAGGAACCTTGCCTGCTGTGGATCTCCTGTCTATGAACAACACCTCAACCCCTCAAATGCTCTATTAACCAAGAAAGGAAATGTAGATCGTGATGAATTTGCCAGGAAGTGTTTGTCTATGGAAGCGCTAAAATACTTTTCACCATAGGGTAGGAGGGAGTCCCAAAACGACGACAAGAATGACAAGTGTTATTTTACTTCAATTTGAATAATTATTTTAAAATCTCAATGAAATCTTTTCAAATTTTTAACAAGTCACAAACTGTGAGGACTTGAAATGGATTGTTTATCTCATAAGGTTTCAGAAAGTCCTACAAAAGCAAGAAGTGTAAGAAGTACATTTTGCAAATATATTTTTTTTCATCTTCTCAAACATTTCACAACTTATAGTCAAATTTCTAAAAAGAAATTTAAATATGAAATAATGGAACCAAAAATTTAATTGCAGATGAAGATGAAAAATAGTGGGATCTTTTCTATTAGCCGAGTAAATCAAGTTATAATCAGCAAATACACACCTCAAATTCCTGCATGACTTTTTTCATGGCATTCACATCGAACATCAATTTGATTAGTTCTTGAACTGGTTTTTGCAATTTTGAGGGAACATCTGATGTCATATCATTTAATGCTTCATCATTACCCTGCAAAAAAAGACATTAAAATGATAAATGTACCCAATTTGACTTTGTAAGAAAGAAAATTTAAAAAAATATATATATAGTACTTACATCACTGTAGTCCACATCCACTGGGTACATTTTGCCTGGTACTTTGACAAAGTGGTGTCTATCTTCCCACATGTTACCAGTCTTCTCTTCATAGACAGTTTTAAACTCTTGTAACATTTCATTCAATGTCCCTTCATTTAATTTGTTCCCCCCTATTGTTGTACCAATTCGGCCCCAAGCACGGAAACACCAGAACCTAAACATGGAATCAATTTGTAACAAAACACTAATGGATTTCATTCAGAAATAGTACAGCGTAGAATCTGCTTAAAATGGTAAAGAAGTCAAACAAAGTACTATGTATCACAATTCACTGAACAATGATGGTGAAAATGCTCTCTGCTTAACTGATTGATGTGTTTTTTCCAGTGTGCCACCTACTATGGTCATTGGTCTCCCAAAGTGTAGCGCACGACTTACCCCAGGAGGCAACAGTGTTCCTCCCCTTCAGATATCTCCCACACAGTAGACAAAGCTTTTTGGGCATAGTTCATATTATTTCTAGTTTTTGCTGTCGAGTCTCAGAGGGTCAATTTGATATCCAGCTAAAAATCGCTTACATTTTTAAAGGATGATGTAAAATTCTTGTGCATGTTTTCTTAATTCTGGGATCCCTACCTTAAGCCACGTACAAGTTAAAATCTAAATATTGAAGAAAATTAGCGCTTTTGGCAAGAAATGATACAAAATATTCGCTCTGGTGAATACAAACTATTTGCAAGGGCAAACAGGATGACCACTGACAACCCGAATTTATTTTCCCTGTATTTTTTCTGAAATTCACTGGGTTTTCCACAAAGTGATCAGCAAATCAGCTGTTGATTTTCATTTTTATCCCTCATTGTGGCCTTCATGAAGGAATCAACTTCCTTCCATGACAACATGGAGAATCATGTGCAAAGATAATGAAGTTACATTAACGACCAGATGCAAATCAAGGGGCCAACCCAGCATTCACTCAAAGGATCAGAGAAACTGGACAAAAAATCTTATGAGGTCATTGACCCAGAAGCTGAGATACAATACTTGTTACAGGTTATTTAGAATTAAACAGTCCAAAATATACATTGTAAAAATATACACTAAATATCATTGTAAAAATTAATATTGCTCCCTTTCTATATTGTCTAGTTATTCTATATTGTCTCCAACTATATAGAAACAGTTTTGCAACAAAAACAATTTTACTTGGGACTTTAACTTGTGTATAAGTTTCAACAGTTTAAGGTCATCTGGCAATATGTTGTAAAATAATGGGCTTGTGTTGTATGTGGATTTTTTATAGTGAACTGTTATTACTTTCTGATGAATAGGATTACTACATCGAGTGTTATAGTTATAGACATTGGCATTTGCTGGAAATACTATCCCATCCTGGATTAAGTCATTGACAAAAAACACAGATTCGTAATTCAAAAGATAAGGTAAAATTGGTACATCAGTAAAATTCCTAGATTAATAAAGTTTACAAGAATCACGCGATATGGATTTGCTTATTATTTGTACGATTCATTTTTTAGTCTAAAAGGCCGGAAGCTGTAAGACATAATTCCCCAGAACATTATGCCATATCTCAGGCGGGAATGAATATTGGTGAAATATACACAAGCAGTATGATGGCTGATTGAATTTGAAAGAATTCTGAATGCGTAGCATAATGAACTTAATTATGTGTTAAATTCATTTAAATTGGTGATCCATTTCACGTTTGACTGAATTGAAGAGTTCTTAAAGTTTTGTTACTTTGCCATCAGCCAATGGCACATTATTCATTTTCAATGGAGTACAAAAATGTTTATGTGAAATGAAAAATTACATTAAAATTTTTTTCTAGTAGAGGAGGGCCTAAACAAATATAAGTCAATTTAATGGAGCTACACCAACAGCATGTTTTGGAATTTTTAAATATATTGAAAACTGTATGACCATAATAATAAAAAAATTAAATATTTACACAAATTACAAAGATTTTAATAATACTCAATCTTGTATGCAAAGTTAATTGTAAAACTTAAAAACATAATGCACATCATTTTTTAACACCCAAATTCTGAGAATGTCCCAGGGTCTTCATGTAAAGTACTCTTAAACTTAAATGGGTTAATTTAAATTTGCAGAGCCTTGAGCCAAACAACAGCAATCGGGAAATATTAACTTTGGGAATAATCCTCTGCACAATTTAGGTGCCAGTGTTGTACACAGAGGAGAAGAAGAAGAAGGATGAAGAGAAGATGAAAAATAAAAGAAAAAACCAACAGCAAGGGGGGTAACAGAGGACCCCAAAATGTGTTTTTCCATTAAATTTTAACCCTGATTTTCCTAATACAAAACTTTCTGTATTCTATGTACATACTTTCTGTAGACTCCATATACAAGAAAGTAAAATCAGTGATAAGCCACTGCAGGCTAGCATAATATTTCAGACTTGAAGAAGGCTAAGACATGATGTCCGAAATGATGGCAAACCTGTCATAGATGCAGCATTATCTGGTGAGCCAAGATGAATCTAATATTTAAAAAAAATAAAGGGTTTCAATTTGGTTACCTGTTCCCATTATCAGCTTGAAGAAGCTGCAACTTATAAAACGAGTTCTTGCCACTCTGAATATCAGTTACTCCCAGAACAACATTGTAGATATCTTTGTCTTTCTGATAAACATGAGCAATATTTTCAAGACCAGTATCTGGATCCACTGCATTTCCTCCCTTTAAGCGTAGCTTTACTTTTGAAGGCATACTCTTAGTGAACATACCTGCATGAACACAAAGCAGTGTTGAAAGTCAGAAAAAAGACATCAAATACATTTCAGAAATAAAGAAAATGACACTTCTCAGTTAATTTTTACCAGTTAACTTATTTAAACTATCATAACATATTACTTACTGCCACTCTTAGATTTCTTGGGGACAGACTTCGTCTCAGGAATTCGACCTTTAACCTGAAACAATATCAGAAAATATTTACACTACTTAGACAAGAACAATTTATCAAAAATTTATCAATTTGTTAAAAAGCTTTATTTGCACTTTGGAAGTTTATAATGGAAAAAAAAATAGTTAATATATTAAGTTGCCTGGCTAATCCACTTTTAGGTACAGAAAGTTACATGACAAAATTTGGATTAAAATTCTTGCCTCATTCTTTAATAACAAAATCAGGTTTATCGTCAATCAGATGAATTAAGACAATGATTCTTGTAAATGCCTGAAAGACAGAAAAGTAATTCAAAGAGTTTCACCATTGTACTCTTACGTGCATCAAAACTATGAAAAACGTGTCTTTTGGTAGAATTATTTCAGAAAAATTTTGTCAGAGCTGGCTAAGAATTGAGTCAATTGGTTTTGACTTGCCGAAGGGAATCAAATAAGGTATTGATAACCCCCCTGTAGGTGCACAACAAACAAGTCAATCAATGTGCATTTTCCAATGTCAAAAAGCAAGTTTTTTGGAGAAATTTCTTAGAATATTTGGACAGATCTGCAAAAACGGATCACTTCCCCACCAAAACATGTTGAATGACACCTCACTTGTCATGGTCGGAGGAGTGGAAGTTGTCCAACTGTGAGTGATGGAGAGATCGATGAAGGTCACTAGATTACTATATAGGGATATAGTACTAGCAAAGATAAGAGAGTAAAAAACAAAACTTTTTAAGTTAGGAATAAACAATACCTACCTACCTATCAGTCATTTTAAGCAGAGTGCCTCAAATTGTGTTCTGAGGTCCCTGCTCTTTGAGTAATACAACACGATGGGGGTGACTAGGGAAACGAGCTATCTTTGCCTTGCAAATGTTATGCTAATGATACAACACTTTTCACCAATCCTATAACTGCACATGAAGACTTAAAGAAAGATCCCGATATTATGACAAACTGGACTGAAACTTGCAATACCTTCTCTGAATACAGACAAAAGTTCTCTACATCGATAAAAATAATCCCAAACTATCTCGTTCCATTAACCTTTTAGTTGCAAACTGTGGTCTCACAGTATTTTAGCCCAGTAGTATGATAGGGAAATTTCCCTGTCTAACCTCCAGGGGTATGTGGCAGTTATTATCTGTAACTTACTCAGTTTGACAAGAAGTGCCATGCTGATTTCCAAGTATTGCGGCTCCTGCCTACGCAAACTTAAGGGAACTGTTGATAGAGAAGTGTCTCAAGGTGCTATGTGACCATTTATGGACTCTTGTGATATTTCAGGCAATTATAGTGTGCAATGGTTTCAGAAGCAAAAGAAAAAGGGTGTGAATAACTTACATTCTAGACTACAACTCTTAAAATAAAGAACAAAAAGAAAAGTAAAGAGAATAAGAAGAGATTGTGAAATCCCATGGGCTTTCTTTCGGCTTGGGAAGTAATTTTCTGTAGTATCTTTTTTTTTTTCTTTTTCCCAAGAAAAGAAAAACATTAATTTTTCAAAGACATTTGCAAACTACACTTCTTTTATCAACAACTAACTTTTTTAAAGAAAATATTTTGTTACTGAAGAACAGGTAGTGAGGAAAGCAAAACAAATGATAATAACTGACATTTATAAATAGTCTTTTGTTTGAAATTTGCAATGGAATACGAGTGTTCATTTACACATAGCTTTTTTCAATAATGTACAATGTACTGGGAAAGTTTATCCAGAGTGGCACATTGGTGGGGAGAGAGCTAGCAACAGAAATTATGTTGGTAGCATGAGCTGCAACTTGTAACAAAAGAAAACTTAAATTCTACGTTTACCACAATCAAAACAGATGCTAGAAGTGTTGTCACTTGTTTCCCAGTGATCTATCTATGCAACCATCATAAATGCAATTAATGGCAGACCCTGACTCAGCTCGATGCAGAGAGACTTTCCTGGTGGGCTATATTACTTTAAATAAATTAAGAAGTTTAACTAATAATTAAATGGAGCCAGAAGAATGCATTACTACTTTCTCAATTCAGCAGTAGCACTGTCAATATGGTACTTCATCTAGTATGGTAAAAACATATGTAAAGCTATAAAATACCTATATTTAATCTAGTGTAGTGCTATTTAAAAAATTTCATTCACTGTATTATATATAATTATTTGAAGTCTTAACATTTTCATGCCTTTGCATGTACTATTGGCATTTTTCTGAAGTTGTATCTCCCACACATATTTTAGATCAATATAAACTACATACACGCTTCACTGTGACTCACTACCCGTCAAGCACCAAAACGTACTAATCGTTTGTCCTACAACACAACACCAGACCACCTAAATGCATGGCAACACTCATCGTGCTTAAAAATCAAATCGCATCGTCATATATGTCTACTTATGAAAATCTGTACCACTATGTCAGATGGTATAAAACTCTAAAATGTTAATGAACACACTCTCGAAAGACATGGATTTTATTGTAAATAAAGATCTTGAAAGGGAAATTCAAGTTAATGCTTCTACTGAGGAAGCAAACACAGCTCTGCGAGTCAAGAGGAAGGCCTTTTTAACTTGCACTCATCTGCAGTTACAAATTTGTTCCAACACTCTCAACACCAGGAGTTGAATATATCACTGTAGATTGGTTCATATATTTCAAAAAGAAACTACGGTTGACTCTGGTTATAGTGAACTTAAGTCACTGACATAACAAAAAAGCATCAGAAGACTCTTATAGTGAAACTGAACCTCAGCTATAGTGCACATAGGAATTATAACGACCTGGAAATGAACGCCCTTCTGGAAAAGAATATATTGCCTCAGTGCTACAAATTCCAACCCTAGGCAGCTTGGAAAAATGTTGACCAAAGGCCATAATATAAGTAGTGGGAATGGGCACCTTACTGCCACATACCTATGCTTCTTAAGTTTCACTGCAGAAACAAAGGCCGTGCCCTGCGTGGGCTACAAGTGGCAGTGGCAATGCATGATTGCTTATTTCCATATCAATCTAGTTGTTACTTGATATTCCGCAAGGCAAAATGAGTTGAGTTCTATGTAGGCCATACAAAGCATGCGACTGACAACCTGATGATATCCATCATGCCGTGTGGGAAAGCGATCAGTTTCATTAGCTGCTTCTGCCATCCCACCGAAAGCATCTTATTATATTATTAGGGGAGTGAAAGGACTTTCAGAGAGGGGATGCTATTCCAACAGTTCAAGAGGTTAAAAGGTGTCAAAACTGCATTATGACACTTAGACACAGAGGACAATACAGAATCGAATATGGAGAGTGCACGAACTGTGGAGGATTTAGAGAAATTACTATTGAAAAAGTATGAAGCAAACAATTGAAAAGAAATTGATTTTTTAAGCACAAATAAAGATGTTAAAATTTTCATTTGTGCTCTTAATGTATTTTGCTATTTCTCCATCGTTATGGAGAATCAATCTTTAAATTAATCGTTATGGAGAAATTCTGTTTAATTTTGATATCCTCAGATATAGAGAACGAAAAATTAGACCCTAAAAGTTCACTATAACCAGAGTCGATTGTATCTTTTAGGAAGGGTCAGAGAATTGCAACTAGCATACTTAATGCCACCAAACATTTACAACAGCATGAAATATGTGAGAACATGCTATTAACAACTCTAGAGAAGAGAAAGAACTGAAATGATACCTTAGATGCACGCAAAATAATGAATCTACATAAATCAAATTGGAGTGTGTATCTGTGTTTTCAAAATAACTGCCTTTTTCAAATATGTTTATTTAGATGATATAAAAACCAACAATTTTTGTCTGGCTATTTGGCTTGAAATCTCACAGATTGTGCCCAAGATGACAACTTAACCCACTTTTGAATTATGTAATCAAATACAATGATTCTGTCAACAAAGACAATTTTATCTATCAAACTTATTAGTGATATTTTAAGTGCAATGTCAGGTTTTACTGATCAATGTAGTTTATTGATACTGTATTTACCTGAACATAAGATTAGGAATTTTTCATTAAAAATCACGAGATCACCTTCCATTTACAGATTAAGCCTAGTCAATTGTTTTTACACCATTTCAAGAGATTTGAATGGTACCATATCAATAATCTGCAATGGTGATACATACCATTGGCTTTGATAGTGGCGAGTCCAACTCCTGTGTATTCGGAGGTTCCTTCACTCGCTTTCATTAAAGGTAAATGTAAACATTTATCTTCTTTCTCCTTATCACATATTTGAATCACACGGGCAATGATTTTGTGACACTCGCTGTGTATAGTAGTGTTAGTAACTCTCTTTGCCATGATGAGAAACTAATGGTCTTCACACGTTAACACTCCGGTCCTGCCACAAGCGAACTAACTAACTCCGATGTTCTTGGAACGGTTGCGATAAGTCACGTGACATTGTGCGGTGCAGTGAAAGCCATCACCTCCTACCTTGCCGCTTGCCCCGCACGGAAACTAGGACCCCTCTCCAGCGGTCGGAAAACTGAGACCCGGACAGTACACATGGTAAAAATATACATGGGTTATAGTAATCCATGTTGACTTATTACAAATGCAGGAAATTTTTGCCAACATTTTTTAAAGATGAAATTTTCTCACATATCAACCAGTTGCTGCTCTTGTTGAAACACATTAACCTGAAGTGGAAAATGGGTATTTCTTGAATTTAATAATAATAAATTGTATACAACTTAGAACATCACATTTTCCTCAAGTAACCAAATTATATCAGCTACAGGAAAATTTCTCCAATTTGACCCCTTCAGTTCCTTGCAAGAGAGTTCCTTAAATTGGGTTTCCAAGACAGTGGGCACCCAGAGAAGTTCAATACATCACTTAATTCAAGGAAGGGTCAGGACATTAATACAGATGCTCAATAGTAAATTAAATAAGTCATTGACAAAATAAACTGTGCTTATTGACCAATTAACAATGTCAAACGGGAAGAAGAGTGAAAGTCCTTTATACAATAAGAGCAATGGGTCTTACATCTGATCCCCAATCAGCAAGATTCTTCTTTGCAATAACATCAACTGCTGGAGTCTTTTCCACTTCATCAAGGAAGTCTTCTGGAACAACTTGAATGTCAAATTGTTCTGCTTCTGAAATTATTGAGCCCATTTTCTCCACATCATCTATAAATAAAATAATAAACATTAATGATCATTTGCTCAAATAAGAGCAATGCGATGAGTCATTCTCTGACCTCTCATTAGACAGATACAAAAGTTCCAATTATTATTACTGTTATATAATCTTTACTATTGATTAAGATAACTGATGATAATTTTTGATATTACACACTACAAGGCACAATTGAAGAGTTTGATGTTAAGCACATTTAAATGTTTGACTATACTAATTCTAGTACTTAGTTAATAATGTATAAAAAACTGGAGAAAAATTATAAAATTTTGTTATCTATAGCTTACAGAAGTATTTTTTAGTTTAACTAGTATATTATGCATTTTCTACCATACCACTTCCAAGCCACCTTTAAATGTTTGAAGTGGTTTTGTGTTCTTTGATGCATGGAATAACACAGGACTACCTCACGCCACTGAATACATTTAAGCTCCCAATTGGGTGACACCATCAACAGTTGGCATGGTTGTTAAGCATCACATTAAAAAAAACAACTTAAGTATAACACATTCTGGATGTATTCTGCTTTTTCTGGGGGTGGAATAATTTTTGGGAAATGTTTACCACTCTCCAGATGCTACATGAATTTTTACTAATGACTCTGCTTCCTGATGCCTTATGTGAAACTTCCTGCAAATGGTGTTTGGTACTGCCATCAATCAAAGATGCATCGCTAGGACATTGCGAGTTGTGAGCCCGACTCGCAGTACATGCTGTATTGGGCCCATGTTACACCAAGGCTGTGGGTTTGAATGGCTAGAATGTTTTGAGTGTGTTGTGGCAAGGTGAGTAGTTCTAATTATTTATTACTAAAACAACTCCAGAAGTATAATTATGCATTTCCTATTGTTGAAAGTGAAAGAATAGTAAAACAAGAAATATATAGGCAAACTTCCAGGCTCTAGTTATGTACATGTAAATTAGTATTCCTTATTAAAGTGTTTTTAAGAAAGACGTGTGAAAAGTTCAAATTAAGAATTTTCTAATCAGATGTTTTCCCACTTATAAAGTTGAATATGATTATCCCTTGAAAAACTTCCTGAGCTAACACTCTACATGCAAACCCACAGTTGCGACAGCTAATGAAAGTAGACAACAGAAAATAAAAAGGATGGACAATAAAATAAATGAAATTTCCTTAGAAAGTGTTTACTCACCTTTTGGAGCAATAACTGCCGCAAGAGTTGCGTGAACTTTAGAAACAATTTTCCCTCCTAATTTAGCCACCCTCTCCTTGATTTTTTTTCTTTCATCTTTTTTAATTCCACTACCAATAACAAATTCCATTCCTTGTAATGGAGGTGGAGGGCGGTACACTTTTGGTCTGAAGCAAAATGGTTTATTAATAGTGTGAAATTGGAACTTTTAGATCAAATTGTGCCAACAAATATAACTTCTTTCATTTATGTTAACATGTGTAGAATACTACTCTATTATTACTCTACTATTATCTACTCTTAATTACAAAAAAATATTTATAAATTTTAAGGTGCAAAATTACAAAACTGTGGCATGCACATTCAAATACCTCATCACAGAAATATTAAAAGCAATTATTCCTGAGTATTCATGCTTTTATAAATTAGGTTTAAAAAATATATTTTAATGATTTAAATGAATTGAAAACTATTTTGTTTAAAGCAATAAATTACTGTATTTACCGAAATATCAGATAGGTATTTGCTCGTTTTTGATCTCTGAAAATCGGGAATTGTCTTATGAATGATATTATGTTGTTACTGGTGTAGTAAACGTTTATTTCACAAAGAAGTCATTTGCAATAGAAACTCCTCTTTTTCTTATTATTGGATATGTTTATGAAATAGATATTTACGTAACTAATACAATGGATTGACCAAATAGTAAGGACTGTATTACAAGAGTGTTGTGTTGAGGTGTAATAAAAGCACATCATAGATTAATACTGTATCTTATGTGAAACAGCCATAGCGCTTGTTGCATATTGTGGATGATCTCAAGAGCAATACTTTTAGGTTTCTTGAATTCTTACTTAAATATCACGAATGCAACTCTGAAGAACTTTCCTATGACAAAAGCTGCCTGCAGATGTTGGTTCGTGTATGCTTCAAAAACTCAAAAAGTTCTGCAATCAAATTTTAATACAATATACAACCTGCTTCGAAGGTGGTATTGATCTATAGAATATCTTGCAGAATTTTACACTGTAGAACAAAACTAAATATCCATGTCAAATACAATCTGCAACACATTCGACTTTTTGAATCTACATTGTTGAATAACTTCTAAACAAAGTTTTCTAGTGCATTAAAAACAACAATTTTGAGGCAAAAGGTCTCGAAGAAACATTTCTCAAACCATAATCTACAGGATGAGATCTTTTTGAACTTCAACATTTTTGCTGTGGGAGAGAGAGGTGAGAGGGATGGAAACAAAGAGTGAGGGGGTGGAAACAAAGGGAGAGAAACGAAGATGAAGAACAATGTCTGCTGGGTTCCGCTAATTACTTTATATAATAAAAAATATTTTAAAATTTGAAGATTTCTAAGCCTTCTCCAGCCTAAGCAAACAACCTTTAAATTTCTAAAAATCACTTAGTCTTTTATACTATCATCATTAAAACAAAAATCAAAAAAATCAAAAGCCCCAATAACAATTTAGCTTCTGTAAATGTGAGGCGAAGAAAAACTCAGGTGGGCTAGATATGACAAAGGGAATTAGTCATGCTTGACAGATGTCTTTCCTATCCCCAAGCGTGGAAATGGAACAAAGCCCAGGCCTGATAACACTGTCAGTTAGTTACAAAAGTTAGACAAAAATAGTTCAAATTCCAATACATACATACAAGTTTGAGTGAAAGAACATTTCCTTCAATGTAAATTCAAAGGATATTTTCTATCACCATCAATACACAAAGATTTATAAAAACCATGAAAATTTACAGTACAGCTAGTGAAGTAAATTCAGTTCCCACACCCTGACACATGTATTGTAATTTTAAGTTCACAGAGTTACATGAAAGTTCTAGACATTCATAAATTTATTAGTATTAATAAGAATATACACAGGCTGCAAGAAGGATCATAACTGAATTTTGTATAAAAAATTCTGATGTTTGATTGAAACATTATAATTTCCTCACATGTTTCCTTATGTATGTCGACATGCTGAATCCAAATCTGAACCCAGTGGTTTTTCATGATTTAAAAAAACAAAACTAGAGAGTGGTGTGCAATTCTGGCATCAGATTCAGTGTTGAAACACCTAGAGAAACATGTGTCAAGTCGTTGGTTCTAACAACTTGTTTTTGTGTGCCTGTGTTATAGAATTTCCTATTTGGACTCAAAGGTATTCTTTGCAATAGGTGTTTATGCTCAAGTCAAAACTATGATTTACAAATGCATCTTCTGATAAAATATCTACTTTAGAAGAAACACAAAATATTAAAAATGCATTTGCAACTTCAGCTTTATGTGAAATGTTTTAAATTACAGGTTTAAACAGAAATAAAATTATATATTTGTTTGAAGACAACAATGCAAACAATGCGCAATAAAAGATAGAAATGTTAATTCCCCAAGCTCTTACAAGAATTCATGTTAGCTTCATATTTGCTGAAACTTTGTGTACCAGCGATTGCTCAGATTAAACAACAATTTTCTTGTTCTAGTGTATTTTGAATGTCCTTCATATCTCTTAAGAGACTTCTTTTAAAAATTGATGTTACTGGAATGCAATGACCATGCCAGTTGAACATCCTCAGCCATAAGTAGTCCACTGTAAATTCTCACACTCTCTGTGCTGCATTCATGGATGTTTTGGGCATGATTTAGCACTTCTAAATTCTAACACTCACATTATTAGTCTCTAAACAAGATTCTATTAAAGATGATTCTAATTCTACAAATAAGCAGAGATTAAATGAACATGGAGAAAAAATAATTCATTGTTTTCTCTGGAATTGAAATATAATTGCACAGAACATAATTTATTTAATACCAAGATTTTGATCATTATTTG